CACGAGGGCTCACACGCCAAGCAGACCCACGCAGGAAACCCAAACCCACACCACACCACAGGGGGGAGCGGGGGAACCGGCCTAAGCAGACCCACTCCCCAACCAGAAGACACCACTACAGGGAGGGGGAAGCAACCCACAACCACACCACACCACAGGGAGGGGGAGGAGGAACCATTGGGGGGGGAGGGGGGGGGGCCGGCCGAGCCGGGATCATATATATATATATATATACATGTGTGTCTACAAACATCTCTGTTTCTCGACCGATGTATATATACACATATAATATAAGTATACACATGTATAGGATCGATAACCTTCGAACATATGCTGAGGGGCACCACGGTCCCGCAACTTTTCTGCTTTCGACCATTCTCGACCTCGATGTGGGGCAAGTCGAGCGATCTCCAATCGAACAGATGCATCATAAAGTGTAACCTTTCGTCCCAACATCAGCAGGCCGATCGAGGCAAAAGGGTGTTGAGGGATCCGAAATCCTACAAACGAGTGAGTCGTAAGCACCGTATGGACAACGAACCACGAAACACTCACCCTGGTCCCGCAAAATCATTTAAAAGGGCGGAGTCGGCGGGATCAAAAATGAGGGCGATTGCCTGGAGCCAAGATCGCCCTGGCAATCGCCGCATTTGAGCTGCTCTATCGAACGAAAAGACTGATCCCTAAATCCCAACCAACCTAGCCGTTGATTGATTGAGGAACATACATAATATGAATATCTATATCTATATATATATATGCATATGCATATTTATGTTTCATTTTGACATCTCAGCCGCTTATGCGAGCTGCAGGATCCACTGTGACACTTTCGGAAGGCATTGAGCTTCAAGACAGTAGCACCTCCTCCGAGTCTCCGTTGTGCATGACCCTCAGCGACGGACAGTTGCTATGGGCCTCACAAAAGGTGGAGAAACGCCAGAGAATCTCCCTCCAAGATCCAGACAGGGGTGCTGCAACATCCCGCTCTTGAAGCGGCATGCTCAGCAGCTATCAACGGGTATGTTTCCAATCTTGGTTAAACTTACTCTGTAAGTTTGCTATTAAGTTAGATCCGTTCTGTATGCGCCAGAGGTTTCTTTATGCATAGGCAGAGCGCAGTATCGATGATCTGAGTTCCTGGAGGCCCGGCTGAATAGATAGTTCGGGGCCAACCGGCTTCGGCGCTCTTGAGCATGTTCGGTCAGAACTCTGCTGCAATCTTTCTTTCAGAAGCCTCCGAGCACACCGGCAGACGGTTGAGTCTGGGTTCATGACAAGCCCCGACCACCAGAACGAAGGATAACGAGTGCATGAATGTCGGAGCACAGCGCGACGTGCGTTTTGACACCTGCAGCTCCACACGCTAACTTACGAGAGAGGAGGGAACAACAGATTTCTCATGTGCACCCTCGCCTAGTTTTGACGGGGGATGCCATTGTTGAAGCACGTTCCAATGAATCAACCATCTTGCTGGCCAGTGAGCTCGAAATCAGTCGATGCTGCGCTGCAGAAATGATCTACAAGTGGGATGACGATGTGTCACGATGATGGGGTGAGACTGAACGAAGCTGCTGCATGTCTTTGCAAGACTCTTTGGCTTCGACGCTGGTTTGTTCGATGTGGATCATCACGCCCCTGTCGCCAGTCTCAGCGTGGAAAGAGTCGATACACCTGCACAAAATTCACAGCACCGAGTCGACCCAGCCTCGCAAGTCCTTCGTTGCATGTTGCAGCCCATCGCCTTGTAGTCGCCCGGTGCCGGGCCGGAGTGAACGTTGACGGCTCCTTAGCACTCCGTGTTTGATTCAGCAACAGACATGGCATAAACCCAGGCGCTTCAGGACTTCTGCTCATCAGCTCAGGCAAATGCTAGAGCTCGGGGTTTTCGGACACAACTTGCCACCTTTCTGATTCTTTCCTCGGCAAGACACGTCTCAACTTCGGCAGCTGGACAAACAACACCTCCCGGCAGAAACCAGGTCCTGGGCTTGGGAAGTTAGCGTACTCGCCAGGTCCCGGTCCTGGCAATGTCCGTATCTTTTTGAGGTTTCCATGACCAAACATTTGCCTCATTCTTCCTTTCCGGTCTCACTTGATTTCGTGAGCCGGAACAGCCCCCATCGTTCCATCCGTCAGCTTTACCCATGTGCCTTCTGCAAGCTCGGACGCCAGCATGCGAGGGGCCGTGCCAAAAACGCAGCTCCTCTTGTTCCCTGCCGATTTGACAAGACAGAGGCTAAACTGCACTCAATGCAGTACAAGCCTTATAGCACTATTCGATCCAGTCCGGAAAGCACTACGAACTAAATCTGCGAAGGTCATGGTCTATGAGAGCCAAAGCTGCATGACTCTTTTCTGGAGGCTGCGAGGCTCGGTGACAATCGATCTCTTGGACTTGTGAAACGTCTCACACAATTTGGCGTGGCTGGGACGACGCCAAGCAAGCCTGGTGCTTGAGCTGACTTGGGAGTGACTGCCCTCAACGATCTCGACATGTCACGGCCAGCAAGTCTTGATGTGATGTTGCAGCTGGCAATGACCGCGGAAGAAGTTGGCGGATCAAGTGTATACTCGGACTGGCCACAATTGAGGAGCACTCTCATGTCCTTGTCTCCTTAGTTTACAGCTGACCGCAACCTGGCAAGCTAAACCTGCAACTTCTTTTGTCAAGCAAGGCCGCTCCCAAGTACGAAGCTACGAACCGAGCACTCGCATCAACTGATTGTGTTTGCGAAAGCTCAAAAGGGTGTTCACACTAGAAGCCCGTTGTGAAAACAGTCTGCTGGAAGCATTGGGTGTTCAGTGTTGTGAGACGTGCCATGTCGAGGTCAAAGAGCAGGTTTGCTTTGCTCCTCGCCAGTCGGGGATGAGCCGAGGCTACCAGGAAAAGAGGCACCTCTACCTCCACCAAGGATCTGGAATGATCTCGGTACAACCTCTTCGACCAACCACCCGTTGCGAGTCCTTCAGTCGTTGGAACGTCCTGAGTAGGGCTACTGACGTGTGGACTGCCGAGGCGTTTCACCACGAAATCCTCAACAAGGTCCGGCCTTTCAACGAGCTCCAACACAGTCTCCAAACGAGCCAGCCTTAATACAATGACCGTCCGTCAGCCATAGCCCACGTCAACTCTTCAGACTAACCGGCCGGCCAAATCATGCACAGTGAGAAGTGTGACAAATTCCAAGGGAACAGGTTCAAGACCAACTATGTAATCGCAACCGCTCACATGAGGACTCTGTGAAGTGCACTGCGTGGCGACGTAGCTAGCATAACGCGTACCATAGCAACGGGCTATGGACCGGTCCGGTGCTGCAGCTTCATCCCTGAATGTCGATCTTAGGGTTGGAAGTCTGGGGCCATGGCAGTGCTTTTTTCAAGTCCTGGAGATGCGAGCCGCACATGAGGCAAAACTCAATTGCGACATGGTTTGGCTCTGTGATCATGCTAGCAGCCCCATCGGCGGTGTCCTTGGCATCTGCCTGTGGACAGATTTGGCATTTCAATGATTCAATGTTTAAAATATTTAAAAACTAAGCACGACTGAAGCCCCCCGCTCCCACACCAACCACTCCCATCCCCAGCCCCCCTACCGCCACACACCCACAATCCCCCCCCGCCGCAGACACGTACACACGTGCACGCACGCGCACGCACCCCCACCCACCCACACACTCTCGACAAATCTGGACAAGTTTGGGGGCAATCTTGGTTGGATCTAACTACATTTCGAAACTGGATGTTCGTGTCTGCTGGCTCTGCTTGCCAGGTTGTTGTGCTAGCCAGCTTGTTGTGCTTAACATGAGAACAGATTGCGGCAAACGTGCATGCAGGTAAATCTGACATGTCTGTGAAAGCCAAGGATCACATGGCACCTGTAACTTGTTGACGTCGGAGTGCATGCTGCATGCAATGATATGCAATGCAGCGTCGGATTGAATCCCAAGGTTCAACCTGTAGCGCTTTCACGGATTGGCCAATGGTGGAAGCAACAACATTGAAGGTACTTTGGGGTGGCCGTTCTTGCAAGTACAGGTGGTTGATCAGACCACCCATCCCATGTCTTGGAAAAGCTTCGTTGACACAGGTATCCAAGACAGGCATGTGCCCCCTGCTGCGAAAAAGGTTTAATTGGTTGCTGCATTGAGATAAATGCCTTGGTGCTTTCGTAGGCTGCTGCGATGGCTTCAATGTGAACGAAGGAGCTTCCGCTCGTCCTGTTTCTCAAGAGGCATGTAAACACCCCAAGGTGTGACAATGCTAATCAAGTGGGATGGGTGGTACGACCTCGATTGGGCGGATTTCATATTTTTGGTCAATGCATATGTGAGCGTTTTTCCTGCGACGTTCTATTCCTCCGCCACGGTTGATCAAATATACCACTGAGCCTCGGCACATTTGGTCTGTTGAAACGGCAACCTGACCAGGCTACTAGTAACATGGGTCGCACCCACGTCTTGGTGACGTCAGCAAGTCTGGCTACAACGGCGAGGTTCATGTGCTGACATCGTGTGATGACGTGCCAACTGTTGCTTCATCTCCACTCTGGCTCTGTGTGGAATATGGTAGAAGCGGCTCCAGTTGAGGCTTTCAACGGCCTCCTGCCACAGCAACGGCCAGAACTTCTCTGCCTGCGAAGCGATGTCCATGAAACGATGTTCAGGACGATCGGTACGAGGAACCCAGCAACGTGCTGAATTGCTTCATTGGGCAACTGATTGAGCATGCGTTCTCAATCGGACTGTAACCTGCAAAGCGGCCAATTTTGAGCTAATGGCCGAAGGCGTGTTATTGCTTATGACTGCAGATGAGCGAAACCTGCGTGGTCGTGTTCATGTCATGTCGAATGTACCCAAGGTTGGTGCAAGTTGCTGGCTCAAGTGTGCAGTTCGACCTGCAGCTGCAGGAACTTTTTTGGTTAGTGTTGCTAAGAGCCAGCCATACTGATGTTGAGCCTGATCAAAGTACTCGTGCACTCGGTGATGTAAATCGCGCAAGCACACGATAGTGCGTGCGCTATACGTGGGTGCACACACATTTCCACAAGACCTGAGCAGGGGTTATCATCGATCTCTAAAAAGATCGGGCGGGCACTTGTGTGCACCGAGCTAATCAGTGCTGTGAGGAGCAGCTGCTCCTTGGTCCCTTCCGGATCCTCATCCGTCCACATCCGAGTGAAAGTTATAGCGCTGAAGACATGTCGAAGCGGCAGGCGGCACAGCAAACTCCTCGTCTTGTTGTATGGTACCGGTCTGCGTCTTGCTGTGAGCGATGCAGCCATGTTGAGCCAAACTATGACAGAGGACATGAGGCATTTGAGTGAGTACATTAACATGTTTCGCAGATCCGCCAGGTGCAAGATGCAACCGGACTGTGTTCTATGCCACAGACATGGGGTCATATCCAGCCTTGCTGTACAGCTGATGGGGCTGTCCCATGGCCTATGCCTTCTTCGGTGTCGAGAGGCGTCGGGCAAGAATCCGTCTTGCCGCAAACCTCCATGTGTTGTGGGCTTGACGCCTCTTGTACTGCGGGGTGTCTGGTGAAGACCACTGCAGTTGATGGGGAGTGAAGAAATGTTGTTTTGGAGTACGATGGGCACAGATGCTGGTAGTTGTTGTGGCTCGCCACCAACGTAATGAAAGCTCTGCGTCTATGATGGCGTTTTTTATCGGCACGCTGTTCTGGGAACGGCCGCTGTGCATGAATTTGCTGCCTCGTCGGGCGGTGGTGATGCGGGCGTAAACGATGCCGGTGTCAGTGAAGTGGTCGAGTGTGTATTATACTGTGTATTGTAATAGGGTGAGGTGGGTCTGTTTGCGATGGTGTTGTATATGTTGTAGGTGACCACGTTGTTGTGGTGTGTGGAAAGTGAGTGCGTGAAGTAAGGTGGCACGTCCAAGAAGCCATAAAGTGATGGCGCGGGTGTGGTGTGAGGTGGAACCGAGGTGGGGAGAATGGTGTCAAGAATGTTGATGACTGCGATGAGGTGGCTGGTGTGGGCGTGAAATCGGTTGGCGGGAAAATGCTTTGGTTGCTATTGTATCGGTGAGTTCAGGGAACTGCCTGAGGAGGTCGTCTGTCTGTTGCTTGATGGTGTTGTGCATGCTTGTCCGCGGGTAATGTCGCTCAAGGTTGCGATTTCATGGGAAGGCGGAAAGCTGCCTTAAAACCCCCTTGTAGCATCTCGACGTAGGTGAACAGCAAGAAGCTTTAGACTGTTTGAACTTAGACCTTAATGTTTCACGATCTCTACAACCGACACTCTTGAAACGTCCTTCGACCAAAGCTTCCTGAGCCTTCGGAGGCCTCAAGCGCCGAGGAAGGATGTTTCTCTTGAAAGATCTCGATTATCTGCTGGAAAAAACACGCTTAGCATCAGAAACCCTATTCCGTTTAGAAGGTTTACTAACTGCAAGTGAGCACTCGCGCTTGTGGCACTCTTTAGGTGTTCCGGGTTTTTCGCCCTCCGGCCTAAGCAGGAGGTCCCGGCAAAACTCTTGAAGGTGGCTATTGTGCATAATCACGTTGAAATCACGGGCGCAGAGCCCCGCACCGACTTCAGCTTTCAACTCCTTCCTTCCATCGCATAATTCCTTCCTTATTTCCTTCTTTCCCTTCTCTCCTGTGCTGCTTGAAAGCTTTCTCAAGCAACTGACGCGTGAAGCCTCTTCAGATAGTCAAGACTCCAAGTCTCCATGTCCTGCTGTTGCTCATGTGACGCTGCTGCCGCCTGCTGGCTCGGATCATAGCCCCATCTTGCATTCGGTATTCTCCATTGCTTCTAAGCCTGGCAATCTTCACGATGTATGGATACCTCGAGCGGTCCGGTCACCTTGTCTTTGCACCTGCTTCTGTCCATTCCCAAATTTCCCAAAACCACGCTGAGCGAACAATCTCATAGTAGTGCCGATGTACATGGTTGGTTGTCAAAATTATGGTCCCTTTTTGGGTCTTTATTATAATACGGCACCTATTATTTGGGGTACCCCAAAAGGGACCCTAATTTTGACAGCTACCCACATGTAGACGCAGAAACTGCGGGTCTTCACCACTTCGAACCGGATTGAAATTGATCGCATTGTCTTCGTTCCAGATGGCAAGCTTCTCCTGCCGTTTGACAGCCTTTCGTCATGCTATGTGATGATGTGTAGCTTGCACAGCCAGATTAATGTCTCGTTCCATTTCGCTGACTTGCACATTGAAAACTATA